TTGCCCTCACTCTATTTCCTCTACAGTGGAGATGGTTCCAAAATACAAGTGTAACACATTGTAAATTTCCCAGGCCAAAGCAAAATGGAGATAAAAGTGAGCCCTGTATCAATATTAAAATAGTATTTCTCCTCCCCAAACTCATAACCCAGTCTAATATGAGAAGAAAAAAATCAGAAAAGTTCCAGTAGAGAGGACTCCTACAATATGCTCCTCAAAACTGTCAAGATCATTGAAAATAAGGAAACTGAGATAATGTCACAGCTAAGAGGAACCCAAGGAGACATGGCAACTAATTGTAATGTGGTGTCCTGGATGAGATCCCAGAGTAGAATAAAGACACTAGGTAATTACTAGGGAAATATGAACAAACTATGAACTTTAGTTAATAATTATGTATCAATATTGGTTCATTAATTGTAATAAATGTACCATATTAATGCCTCTAGTTTATTAATAAAATGTAGTATTCCTTATAAAAATATATATTTATTGATTTTAGAGAGGAAGGGAGAGCGAGAGAGAGATGGAAACATCAATGATGAGAAATAATTATTAATCAGCTGCCTCCTGCATGCCCCCTACTAAGGATCAAGCCCACAACCCAGGCATGTGCTCTGACTGGGAATCTAACCATGACCTGCTGGTTCGTAGGTCGGCACTCAACCACTGAGCCATGCTGGCTGAGTCTCGTATTCCTTTTTTTTTTTTGTTTCACTGCTCTCTGTCTGGATTTCTCAAATTTTTCTCCAAATATGGGGGCCGGGGGCAGGGGATGTTGCACGTGTGTGCTCTGAAGTGTTTTGTTGTTATTGTTGTCATCCACTGTTTTTCTTCTCTTTTGTTCTGGCTCTTATAGGAAAAAAAAGGAATAATGTCGTCTTCTGAAATACCTGGAGTCCTTGCCAGGACACCGATGCCAATGCCGATGTCCAATGTTTAAGGTACAAATTTCCTTGCAGAGCAGCCAGGACCTTGCTTCCTGCCAAAGCTTCTGACTCCACTGCTGTCCACTTGATGATACTGTCTTGGGATCTGAGATTCTCAAGGGAATTTTGTGAAATAGCCCTTGTAGATTACTTGCTTGTTACTGTAGTTCTTCCTTCCTGGGGCTCAGGCATCGATGTGTCGGGACTGGGAAGAAGGATAATCACAGGGCGGTCACTGCATGCTAAGGCCAGAACCACTGCTTTTCTGTCAGTGACCCAAGAAGCCTAGAACTCTTGCTTCTTACAGATGGACTTATTTTCCAGGATGGTTTTTTTTTTGACTACTTGTGCAAACATACTACGGAGGGCCTGGGCCACTAGCTCTCATTACCTGTCCAGACATGTCTGAATCTGAGGGAGGACACAGCACAGGCTTAAGCTGCATAAATAGGGTCACGCTGCTGTGCTGTTTCACATTCTTCAATGCCTCCTTTGTACAACTCCAATCCTTCTTTGGTGTATCTCTCCAGCCCCAGCTGGAGACCAACCCTCCTGAGACTCTCTTGTATAGCCACATGGGATTATTTTAAGCACCTACATTTCATGAATTTGCCAGGCTTCTCATGTCTCTCATCTAGGTTACATTAGCCACCCATCCCCTACCGCCATCCCAAAGGATAATCATAGTTTTGTGTATTTTCACCACTGCAACACTTCGTTGTGTTAGTTATCTATTGATGCTTAACAAATTACCTCCAAACCTAGCTTCTTCAGACAACAAATCTATATCATACATCACAGTTTCTGTGAGACAAGAATTTGGGCATGGCTTAACTGGGTCCTCCTTCTCAAGGTCTCTTACAAGGCTACCATCAAGGTGTTGGTCAGGGCAATGGTCTCATATGACGGTTCAACTGGTAGTGGGTCCGCTGGGAAACTCACTGATATTGCCTTTGGTGGGATTCAGCCCCACGTAGGCTCATGGCCCGAGGACCTCAGTTCCTCAGTGGCTAACTCACAGGCCTCCCTCAGTTTGTTGCTCTGTGGACCTCAGAAGGTGTCTCACAACATGGTAGCCAACTTCCATCAAAGCAAGGAAGAGAACAATTGAGAACATGCCAGAGCGATGTCAGAGTCTTTTTGCAATCTAATCACAGAGGATTACTTTACTCTTATATTTTAAAAGTGATGAGACACATCACTTTTGCTGTATTCTTTTTTTTTTAGAAGCAAGTCACTTGGCTCAACCCACATTGAAGCAGAGGGAATTATATAAGGCCATGGACACCAGGAGGCTGGGATCACTGAGGTCTGTTACCCTGTGGAGGGCAAGCTACTCCCTCCCACAATTGGTTCACATGTCGAGACTGATGTTGCCAAGATGGTATGAAAATAATTATCACTCACATAATGAAACTTTTTAAAGAAAGAAGGACAAGAACAAAAGACAGTCTAAAATGTCTTGATAAAGGAGATAATCTGATGGTTTTAGTTTTTATTGTGGTGAGGGGTTAGAGTCTCAGTGAGGGCTCCTGTGGAAATGGGGTTTGGGTGGCTTGAACTTTCCTGCCAGCAAAAATGGATGGGACTCTAAGGCTTTTTTAATGTTTTGCCCTCATATGGGCAAAAGGGAAAGGGGCGTTGGGGAGGAGATTGGGGCATGAAAGCTCTTAGGGATCAAGCATCAAAAATGCAGTTGGAGTCAGATTCCTTATTACAGGGGCTATTTTATCAGCTGTCTACTATATCCATTGTATTAAAATTGCTTGTTAACTTGTTTGTACTTGAAAAATAAAGTATGCATTTTACTTACGTTTATGTTCTCAGCATCTAGTGCAGTGCCTGACATATCATGGTACTCAATAAATGTTGGTTAAATGAATAACTAAATGACTGAATAGACTCTCTCTCCCTCTTATTATTTATCCCCTGCTGTATATCTATTGATCTTTCAAGATTCATCTCAAGGATTATTTCCTCTCTGATGCTTTTTTTTTTGATCCATTTCCCCCATTTCTCTGGTAGAACTGACCATCCTCTCTCTTCTTTGTGATCAACTGTACTGGGTACAGACTTCTGTCATAGAGATAACATAACTAAGTGGCATTTTTTTTTTGACTTGCAGGACTGTATTTTTTTTTTTTACTAGTCAGAAAGTTCACTGAGCGCAAAAACTTCTTAGACATATTGTGCCTTTGTATCCAGCATGATATCATACACAGATATGCAGTTAATGTTGCACAAAGGATTCACTCAATTCTATCATGGAGAAAGGAGTAAGAGAAAGCTAAATATAGAAGGGGATATTTAATCTGGATCTTGAATAAGTAAAAGCTTGACAGAAATAGGTGCAGGAGTAGGGAGGTTTTGGAGTTAGAATAATCTAAACACAATAGCAGAAGCAAAGATAATGACTTAGTGTGTTCAAGTAAGATATAGCTGGTTGGAGATGAGGCTAAAAAGTCAGGTTTACAAGGATGTAAAAGGTTGTGAAATGTTGTAAGCTATGTTAAGTAGGGTGAAACTTTTCTTGAAGATAAGTGGGAGCAACTTAAGATTTTTAAAAAGACTTGGGTGAGGTTGTTAATCTAAATAAGTATTCCATAAAAACCACCGCTATGGCAGAGTAGAATGGATTTGAATAAGGAGTGGCCTGGAATCAATCAGGAATGGGAAATGGGTGGTTTCACTGGCACAACACGAACTTTACCTGAAAGAAATCAGAATAGTGATAGAGGGTAAGTTTCAGCATTCTCAATGCTGCTCAGAGGAACCAAGGGACTGAGATGTGGGAGGTGTGAAAAACAGAAAATTCAGTGAATAGGTTTTTGACCCACAGGTTAGAAATAAATTTGATTCAACTTCCTTGCTTTACAGATGAGGGAACAAGTGATCTGGAACAGGTCATTTACATGAATTGCTCAAGGTTACACAGAGTTCAAGAACAGGGTAGAACCTAGAACTCCTACCTTTAGACCAATTAACACAATTCCAAAATAGCCAAAAGCAGTAGACCTATTAAGACAAAGGCAAAATCAAGTTATAATGTATATGCTAAATAGCATGCTATATGAGTTCTACTTTTCAGAAGTCCTCTTAGACTTTGAATTTTCTGGCATATTTGATATACAGTATTGGGCCTATGTTACTATGAAAAGTTAAAAATTATTTCCCCAATTTTCATTATTTGAAATAAACAATGCACCATATTGGGCCTATGTTACTATGAAAAGTTAAAAATTATTTTAACTTTCGTATTGGGCCTATGTTACTATGAAAAGTTATTTTAACTATCATATTATTTTAACTATTGTATTATTTTAACTATCGTATTGGGCCTATGTTATTTCCCCAATTCTCATTATTTGAAATAAACAATGCATCATTTAGAATCTATCTATCTGCTTATCAGTATATGCTGAGCATTTGGTACCATGGCTCAGTTTCTTTCACGTTAGTTCTTCCTCTATGAGAGAGAGAAAGTTAGAATAAAGAAAATAAAAGCCAGAGTGGCTTGGCAGGCAGGAAGAGGAACGGAGGAGGGTCGGGAGGGCAGGCGTTTGAGATGCTGAACCTGGGTGCAGATGGCTCTGTTCCACCAATCTTGCTGAAGGAGTGTATTTGAAGTGGCATAATAATTAGGCTCAAAAATTTACCCTCCGTGTGCCCTTCAAAGAAAAAGCTTGGGTTGAACCTTGGGGCAATTCATTTCTGATTTTTAGACCTCTGTAGAATGCAGCTGCAGATGAGAAATCTCAAGAGAACTGTGTTTTCCCCCTGACTCCCCCTTTGAGACGTAATACTGCATATTTTCTGACTAATCAGTGTTGGTGAAAGGAACTTCCCTTTAAATTTTATGTCAGTTATTAATTCTTTAAGATTAAGCCATTACTCTCAAAACCACAGGATAAAATTATGATTAGGCCTCATTTCTCTGAACTTACATATTTCTTAGAAACCTTATTATTATAAGACATAGTATCTGTAGACAAATTTAGTTATCATGCAATGATTCTAAATTCTGTTTATTGTTTGCTTCAAATAATGGGATTCAGGAAAATTTTAATTGCAGAATGAAAATGCACATAGCTATCACTTCTTTCATTAAATATATGAAATATTTTTCTTTCCATGATTTGTGGACGAGTTTCACAATGCACATAAGTTTGATTCAGATGAAATAAAGATTTGGATGCTATTCCTTTAGAGCAAAGTTAACATATAAACTTATATATAACAGACACTCTGTTTTGTCAATCAAAAAGATCTTAAATAGAATTTCTAAGGGAGATAGATTTAAACAAACAGCCACTTGCTGACACTTAAGATAAGCACTTTAGAAGTGTATTAGAGAGCGTAATGTTATGTCCTGGCACGGAGCCAGAATGTTTTATTTTTCTTACCAACATTTTATTTCCCTGAACTCTAAAAGAAGTGACAGGTTATTTTGTCTGTAATGGTGGTTATTTTCAACTTCAAAAACTTTTCTGTGATCTTAAAACCTTATAATTTGTTCACAGTTACAAGTTAATACAGGCACTGAGCAGCATCTGTATGTAATTTTAGCTGAGAGATATAGTGGGAACTTTCAGTCCTTCCAAACTTATTTCATTAGACATGCATTGTCTAGAAAGAAGTTTGCTGCAAGCGGAGTACTGAGTTTGCATAAGACCAATCTATTGTTGGAACAGTGGACATTTATGTGTCCTTTGGGGTCTTCGTGGCGTCCCACCTTAGTCTTGTTCTCTGTTATAAGGAGATGGCAGGAGACGCTTGGACAAGAGCTTGTTATGCCAGGCTCAGTAGGGGTGCTTTCTCCCATGGCACACCACTTCAGTCTGACGGAAGGCTCACCTTTGCTCTCTTTGATATGCTCTCTTTGGGTCTTCCCTTTCTGACAGCGACTGGCCCCTCCAGCTCCCTTCTCTCAGGCACTTCCCTGCAGCACGACTGTGGCTTCCTACAGATGCAGGACTTAATACAAGTAGTCTGAGGAGAGAAAAAGGAAGTATTCTGGTCAGGGCTCCTCAAGTCACACAGAGACTAGTTCCACCTTCATGTAAGAAGTAAATCGTAGGGCCAGCCGGCATGGCACTGTGATTGAGCATTGACCTATGAACCAGGAGGTCACGATTTGATTCCCGGTCAGGGCGCATGCCTGGGTAGTGGGCTCAATCCCCAGTGTGAAGTGTGCAGGAGCCAATCAATGATTCTCTCTCATCATTGATGTTTCAATCTCTCTCTCCCTCTCCTTTCCTCTCTGAAATCAATAAAAATATATTAATAAATAAATCAATCCCATGGATAGTCTGATTGAAGTGAGGGGTAGACACTTTCAAAAAGAAAAATAAATGGAGTTTCTTTAAAAGAAGAATTAATTCGATTTTGGTTTATGTCTCAGTTATTTATTTATTTATTTTAACAATAAATCTTTATTGTTGAAAGTATTATATATGTACCCCTTTTCCCCCTGTGACCCTTTTCAGCCTGCCCCTGCCCCCCACCCCAAGCCTTCACTGCCCTATTGTCTGTGTCCATGGTTTAAGTCTCAATTTTTTAAAAAAGGGAGAAATTTAGGAGCCATCAGACAGTATAAAGTTAATGTCGGAGAGGTCTCTCATGTGATAAACTTAGAATAAATGTGGACAACGTCAACTTAAAGCTTACAAGTCAGAGAAAAATGAAGGGACTCGCATGCATTTTAAAACAATTATCTGCCTGGTTATATCTTGTCTTTATGTATGCAATTGTGCCTACCTCTGAAAAAAAATTATCAAAGCAAGTCTTACCTGATGCATTATTAGACATATTGACTAGGTAAAAAAGGATGGAGTAACTTCTCTGTAAAAGTCTAAAGGTGCATCTTTATCACTTAACAAAAAAAAACAAAACAAAACAAAACAATAAAACAGGCTTCTGCTCATTATTTTCCATGCAAGGTTCTTGCCGACTGGCAATAGGGGCAGAGACTGGGTGCTTTGTCGTGGCAACAGAAGGCTGGCAGTGAAAAAATATAACAATGCCCTTGTTATCTGTTTCCAATTCTTGCAGCACAGAGCTGGAATCCAGAACATTTGCCGCCTTGAATAATTCAACTTTCAAATCTGTTGGTGGTTCATGACAATTGTGATTTACTTTTCTTTAACATTTTATTCTTTGCCTAGTTCTCATCACTAGTTTTCCCCTGCCACCCGCCCCCCATGTTCACACTGCCTAAAATTCTTTGGTTTTAAGAATCAGAGTGGTGATCTCCTTTAGAAATTATTAAGCAAGACTAGGCAGAAACAAGATATACGAAAAAAAATCAAACACAACTTCTAAAAGAAGAAGTCAGCCTGAAGTTTACAAAGCTTTATGATTTTATAATGACTCTCTTACCCCACTCTACTATTCTAGGAGAGCTTTAATGCTCTCTTACCGGGAATCTCCTTTGTAGATGACAAGCTGACATGCTTTAAATATTGATAGTGGGACTCCACAGTGTTGCAGGAAACAATGCAGCTCCCAGCATATGGGCTATGAGGCTGGAGTCTTCATTAGGTTCACACATGGTGCTAGAGTGGAAATAAACAGTCTATCGAGGCGAGCCTGGAGAGGCTCAGAGAAGGTAAACATTCACATGTGTCTTCTCAATGTGTGTTCTATTACACATGTTTGTGTTTTCTTCTGATTTAAGAAAATAGTTTTTGTTCAAACAGCATGAACATGTTAATAAAGAAAATGTAAACTGGAAAATATAATTACTACTTCCTAATAAAACTTCTCTCTCTCTCTCTCTCTCTCTCTCGCTGACACACACACACACACACACACACTCACACACACACACACACAAGCTAAGCTTCTCTTTGCCTTCATTCCTTCAAACTGGTTTTCCCCACATGCTGGTGACCATGGCTGGGAGCAGCAGTTCCAATGTAAACATGATAGCTTCATGACTTTGAGAAAAGACAGGGCTTCGCTCCCCCTGCTTCTGTATATAACACTTGCATGGAATAGCGCTGATTAACCAAGTCTGAGGCCTGTGCCAATCCCTATTGCTAAAACAATGGGGCCCTTTGAATGGCAAGTCAGGTTCATGTGTCTGTGACAGGCAGCCTCACTAGTGTCAAAACATTAGAGCAGGGGAAGATCGGTTCCCCCAAAGAAGAGGTCGCATTTACTAGAGGAAAGGCAAAAGGTATCTATGGCCACCATATGGACAGTTAAGGATATAGTGAAAGTTGTCAGATATGCTGTTTTGCAAGAACTGGTAATGAGATAGTCTATAGAAGATGACAATGTATTCATTGGTTATTCAATAGGCATTTCTTAAGTGTCTACAACTATAACCCTTAACATGCAGTTTCTCATGTGCTGGGATATAGGAGTAAGAAGTAGGAGAAGTCAAATCCAAACCCCCTTTTCCTGGTGTTGTTTATTCATGTTTCCTGTGACTTATAGTGTGTCCCCCCTGCAGCCACAAGAAGTTGTTTCTGTAATTCTTAATTAATTCTGTAATTTGTCAGAGGCTGCTGCTGCTCAGAGTTCAAAGTCAGGGTTGCCCCATTGATTCCATTTCCTCTGTGTCTATGCACACACTGACCCCACACTTCGCTGCTCGGCCTCTCACCTCGTTCGTATTGGTTGGCTGAATCATGACTTGGGGTTTGTCGACTTCCCTTTAATAATATGCACGTAGTCTCATGCTTGCTAATACTTTCTTTTTCCCATCACTCTGATAGTCAACTGAGGTAAGACATAGTCTTCTTTCCTCCAATGAAATAACTCTTTCCTGGCTCCCAAAGAGCACCTTTTGCAGTGCCCTAGGCCAGTGGTCGGCAAACTGTGGCTCGCGAGCCACATGCGGCTCTCTGGCCCCTTGAGTGTGGCCACGAAGTTTCAATCGCACTGTATGTGCGTGTCCGCACGTGGTATTTTGTGAAAGAGCCACACTCAAGGGGCCGCAGTTTGCCGACCACTGCCCTAGGCCAAGAGATAAAATCCCTTTAATAGGCTTAATTTCTTAAAATTCTTCACCTGAGGCCTCAACCCAATTTTAGAGGTAGCTGGTATTGCTTACTTCTGATCCCTCAGAAATCTATAGCTCGGACACATCTGCTAGTGCCCCAGGACTAAGTCCTAAATATCTCCACATTGATCATGTGGGTTCATCTCAAGACCGTACTTCTCACAGGTCAGGAGATTTGCTTGCCCCTGGACTTGTTCAAGGGTCTCAGTCTGTTCTTCCAAGAAGACACTTTGAGTTTGCACGCAACTAAAATTTCCCAAGTTCTTTTCTCTTTCTTTTTCTATGTCGGAAATTTATAGTGAATGTAGATTTGGGGCTTTTGTCTTGTACCCTTTTGCTACATGACTAACTATAATATGAAACAGAATGAAATAAGATCAAAACCAAAAGAATACAGGAAAGGTCAAGGGAATACAGGCAAAGGACTAACTGATTCCAACTGGGGGAATCAGGTAACAATTTTAAGAAGAGGTGATATTTGAGCTGAGCTTTGAAGGGTGGGTTGGATTTTGATTGGGGGCATGGAACATTTCAGATTAAAAGGCTGGTATAAGGCAGAGAATTGCGACATCCACAGTAGTTTGGGAAATAAAATACACAGCCACAGAAGATTGTGGGACCAAAATATATTCTCAGAGACCCATTAAAGATTTCCCCTTCGAAGTGGGCCCAAATATGAGTCAAAACATTTATGTGTTGGAAAGTGAGTACAGAGAAAGGATAATTAAATCCCATCCCTGAATACTGAAGACTTCAGACTTAATTGGGAGGGAGTATATATCATGAAACAAGCTGAGCAAAGTAATATTTTTTAAGAAAACTATTGACAGCAATGTACATGTTGGATGAAGAACTGCTAGACTGAGGATAAGGTGACCCACTAAGAAACTACCATGGGTTGAGAGTAAACCAATTTATGAATTTGCTCAGGTTCAGGGGAAATGGATCAGGATATGATTTTGGTCAGGAAGAAGGAAAGGGCTGCTCTTCTCAGACTGAGGATTGCTGCTGCTGGTGGTGCCTGGCTGCTGGTGCCTCCTGTAAGACATGTGCCCGAGTACTGCTCTTCCTCTCAGGGAAGCTCTTTTGTGGCTTCCTCACAGACCCACCCCCACAGACCCGAGGACCTGTACATTGTGCCATTCCCTGTCATGGGTGATACTCTTCCCAGCTTACCTTTCAGGGCAGCCTTCAGCTGCTCAGTCTTCCGTCCTGAAAGTAGACCCCACCCAGCATTCTTCTGTCAGATCTCCTTATCGCATCTTAGGCAGGGGTTAGAGGACTTTTGCTGCTGCATCACTGATGACAGAGATGTTACATCAGGTTTATATTTCGTGATCTTCAGAGATATGCACGAGCTACTACTTTCATCGATCAGGCTACTCCTATTACGAGACTTAACAAAATTCATCACTGAGAACAAAGATTCACAATTGTAAATGGAAGATTATAAGGGAAGGTTTCGCGTGCCAGCAAAAGTTACTGGTGTGCCATGTTTGGCACGCGTGCCAAGGGTTGCCCACCCCTGGGTTAGACCGACAACTCTCTTAGGTTAGAATATGGCTTATTTCATTGATACTCATTAGGTCCATCAGAACTCAGGCATTCAGAACTGGGTCCACAGTAGCTCTGCACCTTACCAGACCTGTAATCATGAACAAGATATTTTGCCTGTCTAAATATCATTTCCTTATCTGCAGAAAGAGAATGTTAACAATGGTAATACCTGTCTCTTGGGGTTGTTATGAAGATTGGAGAATTCATCTAAGTACTTAGCCCAGAATATGACACCCAATAAGCACCCCAGAATGTTATTTTAATAATAAATAATTGACATTATTTTTGGTTTCATGATTAAGTCAATTGACCATCAATTAAGAAAATCTGTATTTGTACTGACTTCATTTCCTGAGGCCAGCCTTTTGTCATTTGCCTCCTGCTTCTTTCTACTGCTCATCTGATACTTGAGTAAAATACAATGATCTTTTAAAAGAGACCTGGGTCTCTTTTAAAGTACATATTCTCCTGAAAAAGTAATATCTTGAAAGCATATTTTTATGTCTTTCCACATGCAATTTATCAGTAAGTAATCTACCTTCCTTTTACGTTATAGTGATACTGTATACTGATTTCTTTTATCCTGAACATAAGACACCAGTGTTTCATTTTCACGTCCTTCCAGTTAGCACTGATTTCAAGAAATATTCATCAACATTTACTGCCTGCCAGGTGCTTGGCCCTGTTGTGTCCTTGAGATACAAAGTCCGAAAGACATGATCTATGGCCTCATTAGGCTTATACTGATATTATCTGGAAATATGAGAAATCTTGTGTGCCATTTGGAAGCTTCAGTATTCATGTATTTAAATTGGTCTTAAAGGCTGGCAAACCTATGCAGTTTCCATTAAATGGTATAATTTTAGGAATCCTTAGAAGGCCACTTTTTTTTCTTAGTATCTTTTGTACTGAAGACAATAGCCTAAACATGAGTCTGGTGCCACTATAAATTCTTTCCACCTTTGGTGCCTTCTTAATACTTCTTGGTTATCCTAAATGTTTCCCACATCATCTCCCTTTGTATCATAATCTGGACCAAAAGGCTTTTCAAACTTTCTCAATTTACCTGAAACCTCTTACCCCCTTCCCTGACCTTCATTTTTAGAAGGTAATTTGGTTACATGCATCACAGAAAATAGAAATGTGAAAGTGGAATTCCCTCAATGTCCTGCTACTACACAGACATATTTACTTAAATTGTAACCCACCCTTTTACCAACTGGATATCTCTTTAATTCCCAGACCAATCCATTCACCACTTCCCAGGAGCCCAATCTGCTCCCTTTTCCCTCTCCGTCTTCAACGGTTCGCTGTTGACCGGCTTTGTTCCATCAGCTTTTGAATAAGCTCAAGACACTTTTGCCTTTAAAAAGTTTAGAAAACACAAGCCCTTTCAACCAAGTATCTCAGGGATTAGTCTCTACATCATGAAGTTACTTGCAAGAGGTGCCTGAGCTCATCACACCTTCTCACAGCCTGGTCCACTTCCACTCTACCAGCGGTTCCACCAAGGTCATCAGTAATTTCCTTTCTGTAAAATCCAATAGATACTGATCACTCCTCGTTTTATTTGGCTTCTCCCCCTCCTTAGTTGACTATATGTGTCCTTTTAGAAAATCTCTCTTCACTAACTTATTTTGTCTCATATTTCAACATTCAGAGAAGTTTTCAGAGAATGGCCAGTAGGGATTTGTGGTTACATAGCACTTAGGAACTACTCTGGAAAAATTAAAACCCTGAGCATTATATTAAATCAAAAGAGAGGCACAGTGAGAGGGGATTTAAACAAGTTCACATGTGGGGCTTTGTAATAATAATTGCAGAATCATGCCTGCCAGTTCTCACTGATTAGTCATAGATGTGGTTTCCATGGTGATTTTATACATAGCCCACACTCCCAAGCTTGTTCCTCCTACATTCACTATAGCTTACATGAAACAAATCAAAGCATAAACAAGAATAATTAATAAATATTTCAATGTTGTAAATTTTGGTCTGGATCCTGGAAAACCATTATCATAAACAGATAACTTAGCCTATCATTTCTTATTTTATATTTATTGAAGGAATTGGAAATCTAGATATTTTCAAATTACCAAGTCCATATAGCACAAGCTCAGTGTGCATTTTAGAATTTTTATTTTTTTCTGGAAGAATAGAGAAAAGATAATGTTAAGAGATGATAATATCTAGTCTATATTTCAGCAACGTCTCTATTTTGGATACCACAATCTTTGTGCATAGTATCATCTCAAAAGGAAGGAAAAGTTGGAATAGCTAACTTTTAAATTTGTATTTATCTAAAATAAAACCATGTGAGTGAAGAAAAGCTACTTATAAAAAATGGTTATAGTTTTGTTGTTGTTAATCCTCATTAAGGATAACAAGGATATTTATTTCCCATTGACTTTTAGAGAGTGGAAGGGAGGGAAGGAAGGAGAGAGAGAAAGAGAGAGAGAGAGAGAGAGAGAGAGAGAGAGGGATCTGGGCTGGAACCTGCAACTCAGGTATGTGCCCTTGACTAGGAATAGAACCTGCGACCCTTCCATGTGTGGGCCGACACTCTAGTTAATTAGCTATACTGGCCAGGGCTAAATGTTTGCAATTTTTAAAATATGTGGTAAATCATATTGGAATAATAAAGCAGAGATAAATTTTTGCTTATTGTCACATTCTCCTGAGTGCAGACATTTACCTGGCTTTTTGCAAACATGACTACAGTCTTATATTTAAACCATTCAACCATCATGTTAGCCAGATAAATTTCCAGGTACCTCCCAGCTAGAACAGGCATATTATTTTGCTCCTTCTATTGCTTCCAGGGTTTTATCATTTAAGCTGGACAGGGAGAGAGCACTTCTTTCGCCTGGCCCTGGGATGATGCCATCCTTCCCTTCATTGACTTGCTAAAAGCTCCTTGCCTTATTTTCACTCCATACTGGTGATATTCCACCTTATTTGGCATTCAGTCATGTCACTGGGGTAACTTAAGCTTGGTTCCCATGTTCTCTGATCTTTTGCCATTTTTGGTTAAAAGCTCTACTGGTTAAATGCCAGAGTCCATTTTCAATTTAACCCCTTCTTAAAAGAAAGGTATTTTTGCTTTTCCTAAATATAATAAATTGTCTTAATATAGGGTTTTAAAAAATCTTAGTGGTAATAATTCTTTTGTTCTTTTCTATGCCTTATAGATTGCTAGAATTTTTGCAATGGGAAAATGCAATGCATACTATATTACTTATTACTAGTAAATACATTGTGTACGGGGAAGCATTTTATTTGTATGGGTCTTAGGTCATAAACTATTAAAAATGGCTGTCCAAAAGACCAATTTTCAGGAACAAGACACTTCAGTCCATTAAATTTTACAGAATTCCAGTATAAGATGATTTAATAGAAACAATTGTGTAATTGTTTAGAAAAACTTGTTTTCTTTTAAAGTAGTTGACTCTTCCAATTATATTTCACTTTTATGGACTATTAACATTACTCTGTTTAGAAAGTCAGTTGATCTATTCAGGGTGAATTCACTGTGTCACAAAATGCCATAAAATAATTCTACTATATTTGTATGACCAACAGGTTATAGACCTTAATATACAATAGAGTATAAAAGGTCAAAAAGTTACAAATAAAATGTAAAATTATTATTAAACCCATCAGAATTCTGCATTCTCTTGGGTAAACTTAGCACTGTATAGTTTAAAAGAAAACCAATCAATTAGTCATGAATCCCTCAAGAGATCAAGAGAAAGGTACTAGATTTCCTTTTTCCCATCCCTTTCTCCTTCCCTCCTCTCTCTCTCTCTCTCTCTCTCTCTCTCTCTCTCTCTCTCTCTTTTCCTCCCTTCCTTTGCTTCATCCCTTTTCTAACTTATGGGTTACATACCACATAGTTAGCAATGTATTTTAATTAAATATAAATATGTTCTTTGGAACAATATGTATGCCCCTTTCCCTTTTCATTTTAAAAATAAAAATAGAATATACAGTTTAGTGACTGATAAAAAGCCATGGAAAATATTTTTGCCAGAATTTTCCTGATTGTTTTGGCTTGTGAGATTCTAGTTATGGACTCTGGTTATTTAATTAAATTGGGTCTGGAAATAAATATTTATCCCAGCAGATTACTTAATGTTTAATAACTTGAACTTCTTTTAAACTTTTTCCATATAGTAAAAAAAAGTGTTTTTATAGTAAGGTATTTAAATTTAAAAACTGTTTATTATGGTATTAGACACACATATACATGGAAAAATAATATATAATATGATATGAAAATACATGAGTGCAGATGTATAAACTTTCACAAATCAAACCCACTTGTATCACTAGAACCCAGATTAAGAAACAGAAGTTTATCAGTATCTTAGAAGCCCACTTATCTTTATTCCAATCTTTATTCTGCCACTCTCTCCTAAATGACATTGAGTAGTTTTGTCTGCTTTTGTACATTGCATATAGAATTGAATCAAAGTATGTAGCCCCCCTTTTTTTTGGTGGGGTCTGGGTCTTTCTCTAAAGAATATTTTTGTGAGATTCATTTGTGATGTCGCATATATATAGTTGTAGGTTGTACATTCTCCTTTTGTCTAGAATTTCATTGTGCGCATATATCATAATTTGTTGCTCTATTTCACTGTAAATCGGCTTTAGGGTAGTTTCTTGTATTGGCTATTACAAAATAGTGCTGCTGTGAACATTCTTGTACATGTCTCTTCTTAAAGCTATGGATGCA